GTAAAAAGTTGTTCAGATTCTGACCAACTTTTCTAGTAAGAAGTTGTTCAGATTCTGACCAACTTTTCTAGTAAAAAGTTGTTCAGATTCTGAGCAAGTTTTCTATTAAAAAGATGTTGTGATTCAGAGCAACTTTTCTATTAAAAAGATGTTGTGATTCAGAGCAACTTTTCTATTAAAAAGATGTTGTGATTCAGAGCAACTTTTCTATTAAAAAGATGTTGTGATACTGAGCAACTTTTCTAGTAAAAAGTTGTTCAGATTCTGACCAACTTTCCTAGTAAAAATTTTTTCAGATTCTGAGCAACTTTTCTAGTAAAAATTTTTTCAGATTCTGACCAACTTTTTTAGTAAAAAGTTGTTCAGAATCTGAGCAACATTTCTAGTAAAAAGTTGTTCAGATTCTGACCAACTTTTCTAGTAAAAAGTTGTTCAGATTCTGACCAACTTTTCTAGTAAATAATAGTTGTTCTGACCAACTTTTATAGTAAAAAGTTGTTCATATTCTTATTAAAATTCTGATACATATAAATTCTATTCCTATTGTAAGACAAATTCCAATGTTATAATGAATATAAAAGTAAATAAAAACAAAATATCCTTGCCACTTGAACAGGAAATTACTAAAATGTCCTTTAAAACCTTTCAAATCAGAAAAAACTGCTTGATTACAAGAGAAAATTATTTAAAAGTAATAAAAACAAAACAAAAACAATTCCCTGGCTGAAAATAAGCAACAAAAGAAAAACAGACAGAAGATATTAAAAAACAAAAACACTTTCCCCTTCAACAACAACAAAATATATAGAAAAACAAGTAAATTAAACAAACACACAACAGCAGCAACTACAACAACAAGTACAAGTACATAAAATCACACAAACATACAATTAAGCACACACAACAATCATTTGAAGAAGTTGGTGCAAAAAAGTGCAATAGAGAGTTTTTTTTTATTTTGCAAAACCTTTTTAAAAGAGGTATAGGGAGAGAGAAGTAGTAGAAAGAAAAAACAAAAGAGCACAATAAAAAAAGTGCAGTTCATTTAATTTGCATGCAGGTTGGTTGGTGTGATTGTTGCGTTTATTTTATACTTGGCACAGGAAGTTGTTGTAAAGTGGCACCTCAAATTATGAAAAAAAAAATATGTTGGAAATAAAGCAACAACAACAAAGTAAAACCTAAAACAGCTGGATGTTTTTGACTTGAAAAAAAAATCTCAAGGAAAACCTCTTATTCAAAAAAAAAAGCAAATTTTGTTGGAGGGTAATTGTTTTTTCTTATAAGAATAAAACAACAACAAAAAACCACTTGCTTAACAAGCGGCATTTTCATGTTTTCTTTTTTCTTTATCTACACACATTCGTTTATTATATTTTTTCGTATTTCACGATTTCTTTAAAATATGGGAGTCAGCATAAAAATTGAAAATCTACTAAACTCCCCAAAATACATCATCATTACCATCTGCAGCATGTAAAGGAATTTTTATTCCAAAAACACACAGCCTCTACAAAAATGACAACACACACACACAATGCAACAAACACTTTATAAATTTAACACAAGAAATCTTAAATTTTTACTAAATATCATCATCACCACATAATAATGCTAAACAGTTTTACAAGTTTTTCCATTTTCTAGTTGGATTGAGGTGTGGGCAAAGTAGAAACACTTGTTTTCCTTTTATTTTTTTCCATTTAACACTACTTGCACATTTCATTTCTTTAGCCCATTATTCGGCATTTTTTTATTTATTACTAAATGCGTTTTTCTTAAAGTCCATTTTTTTATCAGTTTATCTGCATATTTTTTTTCTATACACACAGTCCATTTGTTTTCTTTTTATATAAAATCTTGTATACATTTATTTAATTTTTTTTTTATTAAATATATTTATGTTTAATAATTTTTTTTTCCACTTACAAATTGAATTTCATCCGATGCAACTTCCGACGCCATTTTGAACGTATATGATTCTGGTTTACTACTCTTCTTCAATATTAACGTTTTGGTCGTGGTGTTGTCGTTTTCCATGGAAAGAACAACTTGCCTTGTCAGAAAACAGAAACACACACCAAAAAGCAAAGAGAAACTGGTGGGAAAAGTAAATGGGAGAAAAAAAAAACAATGATAAAGTAAAAATAAAAACAAAACAAAGGTAAAATAATAAAAAAATACTTGCAAAATATAAGAGAGAACGTCGGTGTAAAGAAGAGAGCAAAAAATATAAAGAAGGAGAATGAATAAGTGAAAATGTTATAATGGTAGGGTTGTATTTATGGGGGAGTATTGTCAACTGTTTTGAAAAAGCACTAAACATATTTTAAAATTTTTTACAAATTTAACTATTAATGGAAATTATGTTGTAATTCCATTCTATTTCTCAATAGGGTTCTATAAATCAACTTTAAATAATCGAAGGGTCTACTTTTTGTCGGAAAAGGTCGAAATCTTTTTTTTTTTATAACAAAGTCGATAAGTCGACTATCTTAAAAAGTTTCGAAAAATCAATTTAGCTATGGCCGTTTGGTAGATAATCTTCTCTTGACTCAAGGATGAAGCCAATTGAAAATCGGAAATGGTTAAAATCGGTCCATTATTTCACTATTTATGTAAGTATAAATGATACTGTAGATTTTTGTAATGATCGGGCATCATTTGATCCGCCCACCAAAGTCCCCTTCAGAAAATGACTTGAAGGTCAATAATTAAACTATAAACACTATAAGACACTTTTAAATCCCTTTATCAAAATTTATGAGGATAGGCCCATATAAATCTCGCTGTCAACATATAACCCTACTTTCAGAAAATCACTTTTTTGTCAAAAAATTGTTAAAATATTTCGTTTATTATAAAAAACTAATTTTTACCATAATATTGCCGACTATATATTCCTAATCATTTTGACCAGAGATATAAAGTGACAGTTTACTGGAAAAGTTGATCGGACTCTGAATAACTTTTTGTTAAAAAAGAAAGAAAAACTCAGAGCAAATTTATTTGATTTCGACCAAACTATTTTTTAAAAAGATTGGTCAGACTTTGTTGCACTTTTTAGTAAAAAAGTTGCTCAGATTTAGAACCACTTTTTATCATAAAAGGTCATTAAAGATTCAACTACTATTATGCATTTTTGAGCTACTTCTTTACTTAATTTTAAAAAGTTCTAAATTTTTAAACTAAAACTTTCTTCGTGATTTTTATATTTTCCGTTATCATTTTCAAATTACGGCAATACCGTCACAGCACTGCCAAAATATTTTAACACACTGCATTATCTGTCAGTGTTGTTTTTAAGTGCATGGAAATAGTAGTGTTAAAATTGTAGTGACAGTACACTGAAAAAAACTAATTGAATTAGGTTCTTTCATAATCATTTTATTCTAAAAACCTATGAAAGCCATTTCTATAACAATTGTGAAAATCTTTGTAAAATTACAATAATAATTGTTCAGCAATTGCCTTCAATTATTTTTGAAAATACGTTTTAAAAAATTAAATGTATTTTCTATAAACAAAATTAAAACAAAAATTGTTCTATTAAAAATTGTAGAAAAATACTTTCCAAGAAATAAAAATCCACAATTCAATTAAAATTTAAAATATGTTAAAAATTATGTACGTAAAGCCAAAAAACCTTTTTGTTGAAGTTTGAATAAACAATTTTCTATAAAATAACTACTAAAGTTTAAAAAAATATTATTTTTTTTATTATAAATTGTATATTTATTTAAATTCTTTTAGTCCACAACTTTAGGTAAAGTTTTGTAAAATTAGTAAGAGTGATAAATTGGATTATGTTTTATCTTATAGAGACTTCGCCATACTATATTGTTTTATCACAACATTAATTTTTAATTAAAATAAAATTGTTTAAAACAAATATCTTTCTAATCTTATTTTTTTAATTTTTACTGTTACAATAATATCTTAAATTCTCTATGTTTGGCACATGAGTAAAATTAATACATACCGATATATGTACATACTTTGTTATATTTTTGTTACTTTCCTAGGCAAACTGCTTATTAAAAATATGACCAAAAATGGGATATGTTCGTTACATTCTGAGGCAATATTCCAATTGAGAGCTGTATAATCCTGTAGAAAAATATACATTGGTTTAAAAATTTGTTAGCCTGTATAATTAAAGTTTAATTCAAACACTATTACCCCAGCGAAATCTATTATTTATAAGACTTCGAATCAAATCTTTTTGATTTTGACTAGATTTTCCATACCAAACAAAAATATACAGATCTCTTCAAAATCTACTAGTTTTTAATGATGCAACTTTGATTTTTCCTAAATAAAACTAAAAATTATGACAATGCACAATAAAAAAGACAAAACAGAAAATCAATATTTAAATAAATTGAAAAACATTAATGAAAAGTTAATCTTTTTTTTTATTATAAAGAAAATTCTAATAAATATTTCATATTTTCTTCTGATTTTTCATATCAAACACAATTTGAAGAAATATTGGAAGAAATGAAATCTTTCTTATGTCATAAAATTAAGTATAAACTGTCTAGATTTGTAGAAAGATTTCAAATGAAATCTGTAGTGTAAATGGAGTATAAAACGGCCCATATTTTGTAATAAACCTTTCAAAAAACCCAAGATATATCAATCTTACAGAAAATGAGCGATTTGTCGAAAATTAACTTATGAAAATTTTCTTTTAATATCTTTGACAAATAAAGAGATATTCACAAACATATTTAAAAGAATCTTTTTATATTTATCAATAAGTTTTTACTAGCATTACTCGATTTCTCATTTCAATGTACTAAATTTTCACTATAATTCAAACGCTATACAAAAAAGTACTATTTTCCCACAGGCCTACCACAAAATATTAATTATTTTCCCTTTTGTTTGATAGCTGAAGCACCCTGTTATCTTTTGTATTCCCCTTTGCTTAAGCAGAGAGTAACGTGGTTACTCTTTTTGTTTCTTCGATTCATTTCTTTCTCTTCATTCATTGCATTTAAAAGAAAAGAAAGGCAGCAAAAGCAATTTTGCGGAAAACAAGTACAGAAAATATAATAGTAGTAGAAAAATAAATTTAATAAAAAGAATAATTTAATTATATAGCATAACAGCAGTGAAATATAAAGCAAATTAAATTATGGAAATCAATAGAAAAAAGAAATTTTATTAAAGAAAAAAAATATAAAATTTTGAAAAAGCAATTAATTACACAAAAAAAGTAGTAGCAGGTAACAGCAAAAAAGTGTTTGTAAAAAATAAGAAAAAAAAAGGTGGTGAATGGCTTGATTGAAAAAAGAATCAGGCAAACAACAGCAACAACAAAAAAAGGAGTTACGCAAATAATAAAAGTTGCATTAAATTACAACAATTACAAGTAGCAACAAAAAAGCAAAGTGTGAAGTAATAATTAAACAAAAAACCAGTCAGCCAGTAGAAACAACAACGAAACAAACAACAAAAAAAAGTAACAAAGTGGCTGGAATTTTAAAGCTTGAAAAGTGGTGTTACTTCTTGTTGTTAGAAAAATCAAATTTGAAATTCCAAAGTTTTATTTAAATTGCAAGTTTGTTTTCTTTTGAACAATTTCCCATCTTTGCCAGGCACAAAAATGGGCGATTCGTCAACGTTGGCCAATGCCGGACCTCGTGTTGTAACCATTTATAAAACGGAAACGGGTTTCGGTTTTAATGTACGTGGTCAAGTGTCCGAAGGTGGTCAATTACGTTCCATTAATGGTGAACTATACGCCCCTCTGCAGCATGTCAGTGCAGTATTGGAAAATGGTGCTGCCGAAAAGGCAGGCATCAAAAAAGGCGATCGCATTTTAGAAGTGTAAGTAAAATCCGAATTCCTCATTGCTATATGAAAATCTATAACCAAACCTACGTCATCATTGTCAAATGTTACTATTCCCTGTGATTTTTTATGGCTAGAAATTGTGTCCCCCTTCTCTCTTTTCAATTTTTATATATTTTTGGTGGTTTCCGCTTAAATTTTTTTTAGCTTTAAGAACACAAAAAAAAAAACAAATGACCTGTTTTTTATATATCAACCTAAAATTCCCCCACACAACCAAACCCTTATGTCCTAAACAAAAACAACACAATTGTACAAATATTTTTACAGGGTTGTTGTAGTTGTTGGCGTCATACTAGTACTTTTATCCAAAAAAAGTCATACTAAACCAAATAAAAGAATTTATCGCGAGTTTTTTGAAAAAAAATTATGTTATTTAGCTAGTGGCAGCAGACAGGCGCGCGCCTTCTCTACCACCGCCCTTTTCTACTGGTTTTTGTGTTTCAATACCCCAGCCCTTTTCATTTTATACAGCCCCCTCCTTCATAACAAACAAACATTACAATTTCTATAGAAAATTCTGACATTCGTTTTGTTTTCTGTTAACCTTCGGGAACAGTTAAACCTTTTAACATTTCTATGTTAATTATCATATTTGCGGACACTAATGTTAGAATGTTTATGTTATTTTGTTTTTGTTTGTTTGACTGTTTGGAAAAACAGCTGTTGCTGTATTGTTGTTGTTTTAAGTAGCGTTATCAGCCAACATTGCAAGTGATAAAAATTTTGTTTAATTTATGAAATGTGTTGCCAAAAAAGATAAAACAAAATTTTTGTAAAAAGTTTTTGTTAAATAAATAACAAACAAAAAAAAATGTAAATATTTTAATTGAAGTCCATAAAAAATGAGTGATTGCTGAATTGTTTCAGGTGATTTACATATTTGTTTTGTCGTAAAATTAAGTAAAGGGAATTTTTAACAATATATTTTCATACAAAGTACGACAGGTATTAAATAGCAAATAAGAATTTGAGCAGAAGTGTTCAGAATTTGAGCAACTTTTTATCCAAATTCAAAATCAGGCTAAGGGCAACTTTATAACAGAAAAGTATATCAATAACTGAGCAACTTTTTACTAAAAATATTTTATTAGAAAAGTTGATCAACAACTGAGCAACTTTTTACTAGAAATGTTGATCAGCAGCAGAGCAATATTTTACTAGAAGAGTTGATCACCAACTGAGACATTTTATACTAGAAATTTTGATCAGCAACTTTTTACTAGAAAAGTTGCTCAGCAACAGAGCAACTTTTTACTTAAAATTTTGATCACCAACTGAGCAAATTTTTATTAGAAATGTTGATCAACAACTGAGCAACTTTTTATTAGAAATGTTGATCAGCAACTGAGCAACTTTTTATTAGAAATGTTGATCAGCAACTGAGCAACTTTTAACCAGAAATATTGATCAGCAACTGAGAAATATTTTACTAGAAAAATATTTCACCATCTGAGACATTTTGTACTAGAAATGTTGATCAGCAACTGAGCAACTTTTTACTAGAAAGTTGCTCAGCAACAGAGAAACTTTTTACTAAAAATGTTGATCAGCAACTGGGCAACTTTTAACTAGAAAAGTTGATCAGCAAATTGAGCAATAACATTTGATCAGCAACTAACTCTTTACTATAAAAGTTGATCAGCAACTGAGCAATTTTTTACTATAAAAGTTGATCAGACTCTGAGCAACTTTTTACTAGAAAAGTTGTTTAGACTCTGAGCAACTTTTTACTAGAAAAGTTTTTCAGACTCTGAGCAACTTTTTACTAGAAAATTTGTTCAAACTCTGAGCAACTTTTTACAAGAAAAGTTGTTCACACACTGAGCAACTTTTTACTAGAAAAGTTGTTCAGACTCTGTGCAACTTTTTACTAGAAAAGTTGTTCAGACTCTGAGCAAATTTTTACTAGAAAAGTTGTTCAGACTCTGAGCAATTTTTTACTAGAAAAGTTGTTCAGACTCTGAGCAACTTTTTACTAGAAAAGTTGTTCAGACTCTGAGCAACTTTTTACTAGAAAAGTTGTTCAGACTCTGAGCAACTTTTTACTAGAAAAGTTGTTCAGACTCTGAGCAACTTTTTACTAGAAAAGTTGTTCAGACTCTGAGCAACTTTTTACTAGAAAAGTTGTTCAGACTCTGAGCAACTTTTTACTAGAAAAGTTGTTCAGACTATGAGCAACTTTTTACTAGAGAAGTTATTCAAACTCTGAGCAACTTTTTACTAGAAAAGTTGTTCACACTCTGAGCAACTTTTTAATAGAAAGGTAGTTCAGGCTCCGAGCATCTTTTTACTAGAAAAGTTTTTCACACTCTGAACAATTTTTTACTAGAAAAGCTGTTCAGACTCTGAACTACTTTTTAATAGAAAAGTAGTTCAGCACTGAGCAGACTCTGAGCATCTTTTTACTAGAAAAGTTGTTCACACTCTGAGCAACTTTTTACTAGAAAAATTGTTCACACTCTGAGCCACTTTTTACTAGAAAAGCTGTTCAGACTCTGAGCAACTTTTTACTAGAAAAGTTTTTCAGACTCTGAGCAACTTTTTACTAGAAAAATTGTTCAGACTTAGAACAACTTTTTATTAGAAAAGTTGTTCAGATTCTGAGCAACTTTTACTAGAGAAGTTGTTTAGACTCTGTTTAGAATTTGAACAACTTTTACTTGAAAAATTTTTCAGACTCTGAGCCACTATTTAGTGGAAAAGTTTTAAAGATTCTTTAGGAATATCTAAAAAAATATATTTTAATAAGAAGTAATTTATTTTCTTAACATCATTATACTAAAGATAAACATCATTATCTGCAAATTGTTATTCTTCTACCATTTTTAACAAAAATATTAAATGTCAAACAATAGTAAAAAAACAGCAACATCATCACCATCTTCAATTGCACCAAAAAAATCCAATGCAAACAAAACACGTATTTTATTTCACAATAAAACAAAAATAAACAAAAAAATGGCAAAAAAATTAAAAATAACGGCTAAAAACTAATGCATATGGCGGAATAAATGCAATTTCATTCATACAATACCATAGAGCGGAGAGTAAGTGGGGTTGTCATGCATTCATACATGTACGAACAAGAAATCAAAAAAGAAGCAATACATGTAATACAATAACAATAACATGGTTACTCTTCTTTTTTTATTTCTATATAGACATGTTTTTGACAAGAATGAAAAAAACTGCAATAATACAAGAAGAAAACAACAACTATTTTAAATATCTTTTTACTACAACATACTAGTATGACAAGAAACAATTGTTTCTTGTTTATTAATAAAAAAAATATAAAAAAAAGTACAAAGACTCTATGTATGATACAAGAAGAACAATAAAAAATATGATAAAAATAGTGATTTTTAGTTGTTGTTGTTGCTGTTAGTGACTTGTTCGTCTTTTTTTTTATACAATTTCTTGGTTTTGCTGTCTTAAACCACAGCTTAAGAGATGACAATAACAAAAATGCCTGCATAATAAAATGTTGTTATTGGTACCGTACGCGTCGCACTCTATGAGTCATTGTCATTTTTATGGGTTGGTTACTGCCTAGTGAGTGAGTGACTGAATATACCACTATTTTTGTTTTTAATGAAAAAGTATAAAAATATACTCAATTTAAATAAAAAGAACTGAAGTATTTTTTTTTTGTTTTCTTCATTGGTATTTTTGTTTTTTGATAAAGAGTTATTTTGTAAATTGAAGGTTTTAACGATAATATAAAATAACCCAAAAAAAACTTATGACTAATTTTGGTCAATTAGAAATAAGTATAATGTTACAAAAAAATTTTAATTTTATTTTTAGATTTTGTTTATAAATTTTAACAATTTTTGTGCTTTTTAACCAATTTTGTTAAAAGAAGCTGTTTTAAAAATGCAAATCATATTGTTTATTATTGTTTAACCCATGTGTAACTGTTTTAAATGATAACTTTATGAATCAAATTTAAACAAATTTTGCAAATGAAGCTTAAACATAAGTTAAGCTATTAAACTATAATTGGACTATAAAATTTAAATTTTAAATTTACTTATGTTAAATTTTGGATCCTCCTAAAATTCTTCAAAGATTTTGCATTCAATAAAACTTGTTTTGTTAAATATCAATGCTTTCTAAGCCTTATATGAAGGCCTTAATCCAATATATTAGGGGGAGCTTATATGGGGGGGTAGAATCAATTATGGGCCGATCCTCTTAATATTTGGCAGAGAGATTTTAGTTTCTATAAAACAGGTTTATGTCAATTTCGTTGATATACTGGCATTTTGATGCAAATTATAAACTTTAAAGTAATTTTCTGAGAGGAACCTTATATGGGGGGTAGGGTCAATTATGAACCGATATCCATAAAATTAGGCAGAGTGCTATTTGTTCTCCGAAAACTTGTTTACGTCGAATTTCGTTGCTTTACTATAATTTTGAAGCAAATTATGAGCGTTATAGTCGTTTTCCGAAGTTGGATGTTAATGTTGGAGATTTAAGCTACAGTTTGGTCATATAAAGCTCGAGTATTACAACTATACCTGGACTATAAAATAAGTAGATAAAGTTGAATGTAATATTAATATTAATTAAGCTAATGTTGGACTATATTGAAGCTAAAGTTAATTTTTAAAAATATCTGTGATTGAAGCTTAAGCTGAATTTGAAACTAAATTTGCACTATAAAAAGAGTTAAGATTAAACTTTAAGTTTTCTATTTTGTAATGCTTAGGTTGAAGCTGGTCCATAAAAAAGAGCAAATGTTAAAGCTATAGTTGGTCTATAAAAAAAAGCTGAGATTGAAACAAAATTTGAATTATAAAATGAGCTAAGATTGAAGTTTAATTTGATCTATAAAAAGAACTATGATTGAATTCAAAGAATACTAAAAGAAGAGCGAGAGTGAAGCTACATTTGATCATAATATTGAAGCTTAATGTGAATGTTAAAATAGCCTAGGATTGAATCTAGAATTGAGCTTAAAA